CCCATCATTCATTACATCCCCCTACTATTATTGCTACAAATCATTTCACAAGGATCCAAAAAAAAAAAAAAAAAAATTTTCTCTCTATTTTCATTCGAATCATTGTATCCAAATGTGGACAGACGGACAACGAAAAAAAAAAAAAAAAATCTAGCACAAAGAAAAAAGGGCGTTGACGCATGCGCTCATTCTTTTCATCCAAAATTTTTTTTTTTTTTTTTCAGTATCCATCCATCCATTCTCATATACGATTTTTATGTATCGTATGATGATGATGATGATGATTCTTTTCTGTTTTTTTTTCGTTTCTTTTTTCTATTCAAAAAAAAGATATCCTTTTTTTGTGTGTTGTTTTTGTCCGTATCACGAGCTGTTGTTGTTTTTTTTGTTCGATTCGATTTGATTATGCGCAAATAATTCAATTCAATTCAATTGTTTCAGGTGATGGCGTCCCTATCGCTTAATGGCCTTGTCTTCTTGTCAATTGATGATGGTAAAAATTTGGTCGAATCCAACGATGGTTGGCTACTGAAAATCCGATTGATTTGATTTGATTCGATTTGATTTGATGATGATAAAAGAAACCCTTGTTCCATGTCCAAATTTATCAATCAACCCTTTCTTTTTTTTCTTGATGATATGATAAAGGTGTTTGATGTTGATTTTTTTCAATGTTTACTTCCTTATATTACATTATATCATTGAGAAATGATGATCACTAGGATGATGATGATGAACATATAAACATGATAAATATGTTTTTAGTTTAACTGAAATTTGATAGACAGTTTTCGACTAAAAATAGAATGAAATCCTTTTTTTTTTTGAAAAAAATTTTTTCTGTTCAAAAAAAAAATCAATGTGCAATCCTTTCTTGAATGTGCAACCATTATACCAACAAAGATTCTAGAATATTCTATCGCAAAAAAATCATATTTCATTCTTTAACACTATAGAGACCATCATCATCGGTCATCATCATCATCATCGGCTAAATAAAGAATAATAGAAAAGAATCCAGGAGCAGGAAGAATGTTTTTTGCTTTGCTTTCTTTCACACACCAACACATTCAGATTGTATCTTTTTTCCTCTTCTTCTTCTACCATGATTGCTATATAAATGAATTCTGCTACTGTGTATTTTATATGATGATGGGGAAGGGTATTGAAGGGGACAAACATCACACAAAATCCTGGTCCAAGATAACACACACACACACACATAGGCTATCTCTGTGTGTTGATAGCCTAGATTTTTTCATTTTTCAAACATACGTTTTTCCTGGTTGGCAAAAAAAATTATTTTCAGATCGATGATGTAGACATAAACAACAACAACAACACAATCCACTCCCCCACCAATACATCTACATTGCAATGGCCTGGTAAAATTTTTTGAAAAAAAAGGGAAAACAAATAGGAAATTCTTCATTGTGTGACGTATATGATATGTGATTAATTCAACAACAACAAAATCAATGATGATGATGATGATGACCTGATTCTGGAACTAAAAGCAAAAATTATTTTCAAAGATTGAAGAATTGTGTATTACATACCTGTTGTTGATGATGATGATAATGGCTTTAAAATCATCATCATCATCATTATTATTATGTTGATCTTTGAAAGAAGATAATTTTAAATATCTGTATCACATGAGTGAGTCATTTTAAAATAAAGATGTATCTTTTTTTTAAAAAAAAAGAACCTTGAGATAGAGAAAGTTTGCTAACATCATCATCGATAGGCTGCAGCCATCGAATGTCATTCAGAATGTAATGAAAAAAAAAAAATTTTTTAATTAATTTTCTTTTACTTTTTGTTTGTTTGTTAAAACATAAAAGTTAACAAACAAGAAAAAGCAGAGGCGAATCATCATCATCATCATCATCGTTTATGGAAAGAATCCTCCTTTGATGATGATGATGATGATGATTATGATTATGATTCGAATTCGAATTGATTTCGAACATATCACACATACAAACCATTATCATCATCATTATCATTATTTAGACGTCATAACGAAATCAAATGATTTTTTTTTTGTTGTACAACAAAATATCGTTTATACTGGAGAACAGGCACGTACGCCAAATTCAACAACAACAAACACGAGGATTTGCGGTTGATAAGTTTTTTTTGTTGATGTTGATGTTGATGTTGATTTTCGTCAACGATTCGATGGCTAATTAAACAAATTGCTGCTGCCAAAAACTATAGGACATTCGCTTCATTATCTTTTGACAAAACGAAACGAACGATCAATCGATCGATTAATCGTTCTAACGATATAGTCAATCCATTCCAACAAAATCAATATCCTTGTGTTGTTCATTGACACTTTCACTTTTGCTTTTTTTTGCTACTTACTCTGTTTGTTTGTTTGTTTGTTCGCTTGCTCGATCATATACAGGATGGAGATTGATTGATATTTTTTATTTTATTTTGTCAAGTTGATTTTGGTGGTGATGGAAACAACAACAACAACAACTTGTCGATATTAGTTGATAAAACTAAACACAAGACCAAACATTATTACTTATTGGATTCTAGATTGTCATCATCCGAATAAAATTGGATTAGCCAATTAAGAAAAAAACGACAAAAGATTATCAATTTAGTACATCTTAACCATCATCATTATCATTAAATAGAATGTACAAAAAAAAATTTGAAAAAACATTCGAATTTTAATTATTAGAACGCCATCTGGTTTTGATAAATATTGATTCATTTTTGGGATAAACTTTTTGCTCAAATTCTAATTACCTTAACGCGTTCGCTACCGGAGATTTCGAAAAACACATAGAACTACAGCAAATAAACGACGCATATATGCGTCGCTGGTAGCGAACGCGTTAATTAAGACAAAAAAAAGAAGAAAATTTTATTTGATTAAAATTTCAATTGAAAAACAATCATATTTACAATTTTAAAAAAATCAATTTTTTCTTTCATCAATCATGTGTGTGGTGTGTGGTGTTTCTTTGCAAACAAACAAAAAAAGTTTTTCGGAAAAAAAAGAAAATTCAAAATTACTTCAAACTTGTTTTTTGTTTTGTTTGTATGTTAACAAATCAATATATATTATTTTATTATACAAACCAAACCAAACACACGATTAATTCAAAATAATTACAGGTGAAAATCATGGTATTATGGTGAGAAAAGAAAAATTATTCACATAGTATTTAAAATAAAAAAAATAGGAAAAGAGGCAGCCACAATTCGGGACATGTTCCAAAAAAAAGACAGCAGCATATGGCCAAATACAATCACATCTTCATCAGCATCTCACACAAAATCTGTTTATTTTCGTTGTTGTTGTTTAAATACGAATCGAGGTTTAAAACACACCGACCATTATCAATCATCAATCTGAAGATATTTGATATGATTATTGAATCTTTCATTTGCAAAAATATATACCTGAAGATTTTGTTCCAAAATAGCGGTTCCTTTTCCATTTTTGATGATGATGATGATTTTTTACAATATTTTCCAAATAATTTACAGCAATCGATTTTAATTATTTAAATTAATTAATGAATGAATCATGTTTGATGATTATTCATAATATTATTTGTATGTGATGATATCATCATTCTCATTGGTGTTGAAGCACTACCATTATGATTAAGATGTGGATGATAATGATTTAGATGAATATTAGGTAAAAATGGTGAATTGACAATCTTTTGATTATTAATATTATTATTATTATTGATGAAAGTATTAACATGATTATTTGTTAATGGTGTTGTCATTGTTGTACGATGATTGTTTGATGATAGATTCGACTGATTAAAAGTCTATGATGATTAGAAGATAAATTAGAACATTATTAGCTAAAAGAATGTTTCACACATACCGAATCATTATTATTATTATTAATTTTTAAAGTATTGATACGTTCACAAATAGTTTCGGCCGAAATTCTTGCTTCGGCTTCTTGATCCCAACAATCTTGAATGGTAGTAACAATCAATGCCATACCAGGATGTTTTGACCATGATTCTTTAATGTGTGGACGTTTTTTCTGCTGTGCCACAATATCTTGCATATCTTCGATAGTTGGATTTTGACCAACTTCATTTTCAAATGGCAAACTATATTCATCGCATGGTATCTCATTGAAACTACAACGAGAAACTAATTCCCATAGCACTAAACCACAGGCATACATGTCGATTTTGAGGAACGAATCTCGTGTAAAATTGATTGCTCCTATACAAAACAAGATCATTGAGAATCGATAAAATCAAAATCAAAATATTGTTTACCTTCAAGTACTTCGGGGGCCATATAACGTCGAGTTCCCACTTGTCCATGAGCATCACCACAAGTAGTGTTTGGATAGAAAACAAGTGCCAGACCGAAATCGGCTATACAAGCTCGAAAATCGTTTCCTAAAAGCACGTTTTTTGATTTAAAATCTCGATGAGCAACCGATGGTTTTGCATTTTGATTATCTTTAGCTGGAATCTCTTCATGTAAATGTGCCAAACCTATACACAATGATGAAAAGGAAGTGTGTAAAGATCGAATCAAATAACTAAATTCAAAAAATTACCTAAGCCAATTCCTTGAATAATTTTAAGCAATTGATTCCATGTAACTGTATGTGATTTAAGATATTCATGTAACGATCCGTTCGGGTGATATTCGGTTATGATCCAAAATTCCAACTTAATACCTTCACCATTTCGATCAAAGCCCAAAAATTTGAGAATATTATTATGTTCCATTTGTGGAAGATTGTACACATCTTTTTCGATTTGCCATGATGAACGATCCTGCATTGAAAATACTTTTACCGCAACTTGTCGATTGTGACAATCGACAGCCCTATACACAGTGCCAAATTTACCATTAGCTAATGCTTCTTTAAGCGAGATAGGATTAGCATTGTATCCAATATTCGGTAGATTAGTACCATCAAGTAAAAGCGGTTCATGAGTAGGAACATCATCTGAATGTGGTTTACGTGGACATTTTCCAAAAATGTATACAATTATACTAGCGACACTTGCCAAAAATATTATAGCCATGATTAACAAAACATAGAATATTATGTCCGATAATCGATAATCATTTGATTCCATTGTGGTTGTTATAACACCTAGAAATCAAATCAAATCGATTACAACTAAATTAAAACAAAAACAAAAAACAATACAGACCATGTTGTTCGGGTGCCGGTGTTGATGAATACAATAACAAATTGGGCATCTGTTTTATTTCTTCATTACAAAGAATACCTTTACAGCAACAAAAATTCAGATCTTTTTGTTTGGGTTGATGTGCCGGTACACAAGGCATCTTATGGTGTTGTTGTTGTTGTTGACTCAAAACGGATAATGATTCTTCATTTGAGCAACTTTTACTGGCACCATACCAACAACCTTTGAATACTAATTGTACACCTTCATTGGTTGAATTACGCCATAATGCATAACAATATGCATCACCAGTATTATGACCCAAATTATCAATTGTCGAACAAATCTGAACCGATTCACCACAACCTTCTTTATTATTAGTTTGTTGACATAATGTACGATTATAATAAAGACATTTTACATATTGATCATCAAATTGTTCTGATTGAATTTCAGCAAGAGGCACAAATTCTCTTGGATTATTCAACATTCTATGATGTAATTGATGATCCGACGACGATGATGATGATGATGATAATCTTGATAAGGATGATGATGTTAAGCCATTTTCGTTCAATGATAATTCATTTGCAGTAACTGAATATAGAAACAAAAAATTAACATTAAAAAGAGATTTCAAACACACACACACAACAACAAACATACCAATACAAAGATGAGAATAGAATATCAGGAACAAATAAACAAATGTATAACGACAATAGATTCGTGGTGAAAATTTTTTGATTGATGATAAGTAAATTGTTGTTGTTTGTAATAATAATGATTTTTTCTTTTCATCATCATCATTATTATTATTATCATGATTATTATCATGGTGAAATATGAAATTATTATTACTTTTTTTTGTAATCATTTTTTTATCTATATGATTGGTTGATGTTGATGATGTTGATGGTAGATTTTGTTGTTATCGTTTTTGAAGATTTCGAAGAAAAAAAAACAATTCGTGATTCAAATGATTAATTTGATGATTCTTCGCTTTTTGTTTGTTTTTTTCAATTATTTATTCGTCTTTTCGATTGTTGTAACAATAGGTCTAGACTTGAAACAACAAAAACAAAAACAAAACAAAAAACGGAATCTCTTAGTAAATTATAATTAAAACAAAGAATCAAGAATCTTTTTCTTTTTCTTTTTTTTTGGGATACACGATTCTTTTCACATTAACAAATTACGATTCGGTTGTTTTTTTTTGTTGTTGTTGTTGTTTTCTTCATTAAAAATGTTGAATCTTTTTGTTTGTTTGTTTGTTTGTTTGTTGGTAATGAGAAGAAACGCTCACAAGAAAAAGAAAAAAAAAACATCGCTCATCATCAACAACAAGATTATGATCATAGTAGCATGAAAATGTGTGATGTGTCCGGTGATGGTGGTGTATATCCTGAAGATTTTTTTTTTTTTTTGCCAAAAAGGCTAAATTTGTATCGATTCTTGATTCATTGTTGGTGGTAGTGGTAGTAGTGATTATGATTGCTCTGCTCTTCAAGATTCACACACTCACATTGCTGCTATGCCAAAATTTTATTTTGTTTTTTTTTTGTTTTTGGGTTCGTTGATTGTATCGAATTGGATATATTATGCATGATTCGAATTGAACATGCGTGTTTTGATTATCATCGTCAATATTGATGATGAATTGAGAGGTAACACGAAAGAGATTGTGTGAGGATTGTGTTGGATCATTGGATCCTCTTTGGTAGCTCAATGGCTTTCTTTTTTCAGTTAGGTTAGGTTGATCACTATGGCTATGATTTATAGCTTAGTTAGGTTAGGTTGGTCGTCTGGTTTGGTTTGGTTATACCCGTCTTGTGATAAAACTTTGTATTTTTTTCGCAAAGTTTTGTCGATTTTTTTCTCGTTCGAATTTCGTGTGCTACATCGACGCCATCTTTCAATGAAGAATTCAATGATAATATTCGTTAAAGTATTACCATCTATTGTTGAGAATCCAAATTGTCTGTTATGAATATAATTTGTCCCTTTTGAATAACAAAGTAAAAAAAAAAAAAATCTTGGTATCAAAATTATTGACACACAAACACACACACAGCACCACCGTTATCATTAATTGGCAAATGTCAATATAATGTGAACTTTGCAACTTCGAATAACATTCGTGCGACCTTCAACAAATAATTCATGTGCTTTTTTCTGTTTTGAAAAATGCCTTTTTTCCGTTGCCCTCTTCCTAAATTTGATGCACCAAAACCATCATTTCGATTCGATAGTAATTCATTGCCGAATTATTTTCGAATTTTATCGAATGATGAAAAACCACAAGAACAACAACAACAAGAAAATGAATGTTCGAATGGTGAACAAAAATCGGAAAAAGTTTCTGATCAAATAATATCAACTCAATGTTATTGGCAAAAAATTATCCTCAATCAACGATGTCCAATTTTTCGTTATCATGAAAATTGGTCAAAAATTAAAATATTAGATGAAAATGGATCGGATCGAAAAACCGATTCAAATCAAACAAAACATCGATTTGATTTTAATTCGCTGAACATTCGATTATTAGAAACATTTGGATTTATTGTAAGTTTTATCAACAAAAATTTGATTTTTTCAACCAAACATTTTTCTCTTTTGATCATTTAATGTAAAGGGCACTGCTTTGATTGTTGGTTTCGATATACGTTCACGTATCAATCAATGGTCACCTGCTCAACATCATCGTGATCATCCTCATATTCTTCATCATCCTCATAATCATCATCATCATTATCATCAATCCGAACATATTAGTTATGATGATAATAATAATCCCCGACAACAACAACAAACATTGCCAAATGTTGTTGATTTTTATCGCTCGAAAACCCTTTATTATTTTGGTTCATGTCGTTTTTGTTGTTATGTTTTTGATAAAATTTGTACAATACCATCATTTTTTCCATTATCATCATTATCATCGAATATTGTTGAAGAGACTACTGCAAATTTAACAATCAAAACTAACCATAATGATGATGAAGTCCATGAACCAACAAATTCAATTACAAAATCATCATCAACAACAATTAACACTGATGAAGAACTATTATTGGATAACATTGAAGAAATTGAACAAATCCTTTATTGTTCACAATCCGAACTACTGAATGGTCATTTTTTATTAAATGATAATGATAATGTGAACAGGAAATCAGCCAAAAAGGACAAGGACAATATCATAACAGAACAACAACAACAACAACAACAGAATGATTTGTCATTGATTTGTGAGAAAGCATCCGGAACGGTGAATGTATCATCGGAAAACAATTACAACAGTGATGATAATGATGACGATGATGATGAGGATGATGATGAGTGGATGACCAACAATGACAATATTTCATCAAACAATATATTTCGTCAAACCTGTATTGAATATGCGGATATATTGAACAATTTATCTGGTATTAAATTGATAAAAAATCAACATACACAAAATGATGCATTAGCCTGTTGGTTAAGCTGTGACAAAAGATATTCTGCTGCATTGTTTAATTTGGGTGTTGCATATGAAAATGGTTTGTTTAATAATGTTGTTGGTGGTGGTGGTGATGGTAGTAAAAAACCTGATATGGATATGGCCTTCCATTATTATGCATTGGCCGCAAATAAAGGCCATCCGAATGCCATCTATAATATTGCATTATATTATCTTTATGGAAAGGGTAATATCAAAACAAATATTAATTATGCATTACAATTATTACGTATTGCATCCGATCATGGTGTTAAACAAGCACAAGATTATTGTCAACAATTTAATATGAAAAAGAAAAAATTAATTAATCAACAACAATTAAATCTCAAAAGTAAATCATTACAAACATTATCAAATCATAAATATGATCAATCATCATTGTTACAATTATCTAATCCAATCATTTCAATCAAACAAAAATCAATCGAATTTCAACATTCGATTTCAAACATTTAATCCATTTTGTCATGATGAAATACCTTGTTTATATTAGTCTCTCTCTCTCATTTTGTGATTTTGTTCTTTATACATTTTTTTTTTGTTTTGTTATTAATTTTTCTTTTTTTCACTCTCTTATAATCTTCATTGTTTTATTCATTCAAATAAAATTTGCCACTATAATTATCATCATTATGATTATGATTATGATAACCAGTTTTGTTTTGTTGGTCGAAAAAAAATACCGTTGAGAATAAGGTGTTTGTGTTGGTGGTATTCTCGTTGTCTCAATTAAAATTATTCATCGACCGTGAAACTATCATCACCATCATTAAAGGATAATGATTTGTTTTATAATAATGGATTGGATAAAACAAAAAATTACAAATTACAAAATGTTATTCGAAAATTTCAATTTTTTTTAAAGTTTCCAAAAATACGACCATCACCAACAACAACAACAAGGAGGGGCAAATTCGAATTCGAATGGATGGCCTCCAAATTTTTTTTTCCACATTCACTGAATGTTGCAGACAAAAACAAAATAACTGAATGAAATGTATCCAAAGAATTGACCACTACTACCACCAATGTAGCTTTTTTCCCCTGTTGTTCTGAATCTGATCCTGAAAAACAAAAAACAAGTTGGGGTGGCACAGTTGTGGCCTAGCAAGCTTGGTTATCCAATCGACAAGGTAGTGGTCCAACAATAAGGTCTTTTGTTTATGTTTTTTTTTTCTATCCATCCATCCATCCATCCATGCATTACATTCGAATTCTCTTCTCTTTTTTTTTCTCTGTATGTTCATTGTGCTCTTTCTCCAAAAAAAATAACACTCTGTGCTCTCTTTATCAATATCTCCCTTTTTTTTCCAATGTATCACGCACATCATTGACTCTTTTTTAAATGGATTTTTTCTTCTTTTTTTCCAAAAAAACGATGATGATGATTCTACTATCATCATTTTGAATCCTCTGTTTATTGCCTTTTCCAATTTCATTTCAATATATCCATTGTGTGTGTGGCGCGCGGCGTCTGCTCCTTTTTTGAAACTAAAAAACATCATATTTTCGTCTATAGAATTGTCCATTGTGTGTGTTAATATTATTGAAATTCATTTCTTGCCACATTATAATGTTTGTTGTTTGTTGTTAGTGATGGTTTTTGTGGTGGTGGTTGTTGTTGTTGACTGTCAATGAAATTTTATGTCCTCGCCTTTTGTTGTTCAATTTGCCATCCATCCATATATCCAAAAATCGTCATAAATCCGAGAAAAGAAGAAGAAAATCTATTCTTCGCCAACAACGACGACGACGAAGAAAGAAGAAAAATCTGATGCTGTTTCTGCTTCTGCTGGTTATCCGTCTTGCGTGTTTATAGAACAAAAAAAGAAAGAAAGAAATCTTTGCTATCAATCCATCTCAATCTCCAGATTTTGTTGTTTTCTTTCAGATTTATGCTGGTTTCCCATGCAATCATCATAGATTTTGTTGTTTTCACAGGATTGTCCGTCTTGTTTGTTGGTTGGTTTTTTAGTTGAATGTTCTCCATTCATTGTAATATATAAAATACATCATCTTCAATATAACTGTAAATCCTCATCAACAACAACAACAATCGTCGTCAACAATTTTCTTATGTAATAATAATACAATTGCTGCTGTGATGATGATAAAAATCTTTTTTTTTTTGTTAGGTGATATAATTATTATTAGCAAAACAAAACAGTAAAGATAATATAGTCTGTAGTCATAGTGGTTGGTTGGTAGAGTATAGTGGGGAAAAAGAAGAAGAAATCCTTAGAAACAAAACATCATCATCATCAATTGGCCAATTACCTCCATTTTTTTTGTTTTTGTTTTGTTTGCAAAAGGTATTTAAACTTTTGTTTTTCTGCTGTTAATTATTTGTTTATTATCCTGCCTGTCAAACAATTATTTTTATTTTTGGTTTTTTTGTTTTTTGTTTATTTCATTGGGTATTGATTTTTAAAAAAACCTTCATCCTTTCAACACAATTCATCGGATGTGTTCTAGTTTTTTTTTCTCATCTGTTCTTCGTATAGTAGTCGTTTTTTCCGATCATCATCTGTATGAATCATCATCATTATCAACAACAGTGGTTAGAGCAGAAAAAAAACCAGTCGATCAGTGGTTGTTTTTTTTTCAAACACAACGATCAAACAACAAAAACTGCCAATTCTATCTTGCCCAATTAAAAGAAAAAAAATTTCATCCTAAGACTTCTTTCGAGTGAAATTCATCATCATAGAAACGTATGTATGTTTGTCTGGTTGTCTGATAGTAATGATTATTATTATTATTGGAATAATTTTGCTACATTTTTTTCTCCAAACAGTTATATGGCTTTCATCATCATTTCTAAACGAATGCAATAAAATCAACAACAAAAAAAAGAAGAGATTTCATAATGATTCATCATTGTTTTTCTTGATTTGAAAGGATGATGATTATTATCAATCAACACAATCATGTAACCAGAATAAATATCAAAAAGAAAAAAGTTGACATAAATTAAATCAACAACAGCACAAACACAGAAGATAATTGCAATCGAAAAAATAAAAACAGAAACTAATCACAATCAGGTGCAGGTGTGATTAAAACGACGAAGATATCATCATCACTCAATCAATCAATCAATGATGGATTCTTCTTCATCAACTAGAATATTTTTAATGAAACGAAACTATCTCAATAATAATAATAATAATAATATCAATAAAAATGTAAAACATTTTTTGGCCAAATTTCAATATTATGTATCGATGTTTGAATCATATGATTATGATCATCATCATCATGATCATCATCAACATTCTTTTCGCTATAGATCATCATCATCATTATTATCATTAACATTAATGGCCATATTGATATTTATTTGTCCTTTGCCATTTTTTGGTATGTATATAATCTTTTCCCATTAAATTTTGTCCTTTTTTTATTATTGTTGTTTGGTGACAATCAAATGGAAACTTTTCTATTAAGTTAAACTAAGAATGTGATTTTTGTTGTTGTTGTTCACCTTTCTTATTAAGAAATGAATGAAAAAAAAAATCGATTATTGAATGATCAATGTCAATGGCATTTTTTTTGTGGCACTTGTGTGACCACCATTATTTAGTTTTTTCATTTCTAATGGACAAAAAAAAGCCATTATTTTGTGTTTTTTTGTTGTTGTTGAAAAATGTTTTCAACAAGGATATTCATTCGATGTTAATTTATTGCCAGAAAAGATTTTCATGAATTTCAATAATTTTATTTCAATTTTTTTCTTTTGAAAAAAACGAAATTAAAAATAATGAAATAAAATGATCAGTCATCACTCAGGATCTCAGGAACCTGATTGAACATTAATTTATTTTTTTAAAAAATTTTCATTACGAAAAATGAAGAGAAACTGTATACATGATGTTGAATAGGTCTTGAACATTTGATTTTTTTTTTTGTCCAAGTGTTGTTGTTGTTTGATAACCTTGAAGATTAGGTAAAAAAAATATGAATGGGTCCTTGGTCTGTTGTTGTTTATCTGATCTACATTGATTTTTTGTTTGTTTTTTTTCTGGTTAAATAAATTATTCAACGAGGTCAGTCAAGAAAAAAAAATTATAGTCATATCCAAGTTCTTTAGTCCAGTAGGTCGCATTTGCATTTTTCACATTATAAATTTAGATAGATAGATAGATTTAGAGCTTGACATGATAATAAATATATATAAATTAATAAATAATGTTCTGTGTGTTTTGTGTCTGCTGTTCACAGGTTGTCGTCAATTTTATATTTCTGTTTAGTCACTCTCCCTTGAGATAATACAGTTAATAATAATAATAATAATATTTCCGAAGGGATTTCCGATTTTTTTTACCCAATCTTCAACTAATTATTTAATTTTTGTTTGAGTTTCCAATTTGGATTGATTAGTTTTAGTTTTATTTGTTTGTTTTCCTGATGATTAACTTTTTTTTAATGGTTTTTGTTTGTTTGTTTATGTTTACTACCAATAGCTGATGCATTAAATCCATTAAATGAACATATAATTCATTATGAAACATTAAATTATGATCCTCAACCACATTTAAATGCATTGGATCGTTCAAGGCGTTCAGCCAAATTTTTTGATAATAATAATAATGAGAATCATCAACCACATCATCATCCTTTGTATGCGATAAATTTTCATTCACATGGCCGTAATCTTTCATTAAGACTTAAACGTGACATTGATTCAGTCTTTCATCGTAATCTAATTGTCGAAGATGGTGATGGTCAACCATTACAAATAAATCTTGATCATATTGTCAGTGGTCATTTAAATAATCAGCCAAATAGTTTGGTTTATGGTTCGATTAATGATGGAATATTTGTTGGTAAAATACATTCAACTGTGCCTAATGAGGAAACATTTTATGTAGAAAAAGCAAGTAAATATTTTCAACCAGATCCTATCGATATCTATCTATTAGATGGTCGTACTTTGAAATCTAAATATAATTATCCGGATCTGGTAAAAGCCATCCGTTTAAGTAAAACAACATCTACTTCTACACGCCTGATACCAGCACTGCCATTTCATTCAGTCATTTATTCATCGAAACATGTGAAAGATCCATTCCATGATCAACGATCTCCAATCGGTATTATTTAATCATATAATCTATTTTAATAATTCTAACGATTTTTTCCAACCAAATAGATGGTGGTTGTGGTGCCAATGAAGAAGTTCGTGAATGGATGAATTCGATTGCCAATTCAGCTGTTTCGGAAGATGAAGATGAAATAATTAATAACAATTCATCATCAACATCAACCAATGATCCGAATCGACCCGTATTACGATCAAAACGAGCTTCAATTAATAATATTAGTAGCAATAAACATTATGATTATGGTAATTATAGACGATTGTTTGAAGCACAAGGTCGTATCAGCAATAATAGGTAAGAATTGACCACAAAAATAAAATAAAATTTCTATCAACTTTCGCTTTTTGAAAAAAAAAATTGTTCTAATAATCAATTGAACAGTGTTGTTAGGAAATAATTTTCTTAGTTAGTCCCTAATTAATATAATTTCTTTGTCATTATGATGATGATGACACTATAGTTATTTGAATGAATGATTTGGCCTATTTAAGTGTGTGTCGTACGTGTGTGTATGTATGTTTAGACAACAATTAGACATTAGGAAACATAGACCACAATCTAATTTGTCCTTGTGTGTGTCATCATTTGTTCACAATATATAATAATGATTCCATTACATAATGCATATAGGAATTTGAAGAAGAAAAAAAACACATTATCATATTACAATTGAAATTTACATAAAATGACAATTTTATTTTACCATTTTGCCATTTTGTCAGACCACTATCACCACATCATTCAACACCATATCTACCATCAAAACGAGCCTGTTCATTATACATACAAACGGATACATTTCTTTGGGATCATGTTAAAAAACATGAATCGGAAAAATCTGATTTCAAAGTTCGTGAAGAGATTGCATCGTTAGTCGCTCAACATATTAAGGCTGTTAATCATATCTATGAAACTTCAGTGTTCAAAAATATTATAGGACTTAAATTTATTGTACAACGATTACGAATTAATGATTCTTCGGCCTGTGAACCAGTAAAACGAGAATCAAATCAATTCTGTTCACCTAATATTGATGTTTCAAATTTTCTAAATCTAAATTCACAATTTAATCATAATGATTTTTGTTTGGCATACATTTTCACTTATCGTGATTTTTCCGGTGGAACACTTGGTCTAGCATGGGTTGCAAGTACATCAGGTATAGTTGATTTTTTTTTCTCTCTCTCTCTATGTTTTTAATCGTTTCTAAATGTCTGTTTGATATATTTAGGTGCATCTGGCGGTATATGTGAAAAATATAAAACATATACGGAAAATATTGGCGGTCGTCAAGTACAAACGAAACGTAGTTTAAATACTGGTATAATTACTTTTGTTAATTATAATTCACGTGTACCACCAAAAGTCAGTGAATTAACATTGGCACACGAAATTGGTCATAATTTTGGTTCACCACATGATTATCCAGTGGAATGTCGTCCGGGTGGTCCACTTGGAAATTATATTATGTATTCATCGGCTACTAGTGGTGAACGACAGAATAATAATAAATTTTCACAATGTTCAGTGAATAATATATCTACAGTATTGAATGCTGTTTTCAATAATGAAGGCAAAGAGAATTGTTTTCAGGAAGATAATGGACCATTCTGTGGTAATAAAATTGTTGAAGATGGTGAAGAATGTGATTGTGGCTATGATTCTCGAGAATGTAATGAAGATTGTTGCTATCCAAGAAGTGTGGAGGAATTTAAACATTTAGATCCGCATGCACAGGTATGTTTGTCTGAATATATTATAATTTCATATTTTTTGATTATTTCACTTTATTTTGATTGATAGCCATGTCGACGAAGACCTGGAGCCTCTTGTTCACCATCTGAAGGTCCTTGCTGTACGGAACGTTGTACATTTGAAGGAAACATGAAACAATGTCGTGATGATGGTGAATGTACTTATGAATCGTTTTGCAGTGGACAACGTGCACATTGTCCATTACCACCGGCAAAACCGAACAAAACTGAATGCAATATGGGTACACAAGTATGTTGGCAAGGTTCATGTACCGGATCAATTTGTCAGAAATATGATCTTGAAGAATGCTTCTTGAATACTCGACGTGGCGCTAAACCGGAGGAAATGTGTGAAGTAGCATGTCAACGACGTAATCAACCAGAGACATGTCGCCGTACATCTGAAATCGATATTATGAGAAATATTTCGGGAATGAAATTAAGACCCGGTTCACCATGTAATGACTTTCAAGGATATTGTGATGTATTTCAACGTTGTCGACCAGTCGATGCTGAAGGTCCATTGGCAAAGCTAAAGAATCTATTGTTTAATAAGAAAACTTTGATTAGTATCAAACAATGGGTTACGGTATGTATCATTTAGATTCGTTAATTTTAAAACATTTTGAATTTAAATTTTTTTGCAGACATATTGGTGGGCCTGTATGTTGATGTTGTTTGCAGCCATATTATTCATGGCTGCTTTCATTAAATGTTGTGCCGTACATACGCCAAGTTCAAATCCGAAACTGAAAAAAGCTTTACGCATATCCGATACATTACGTCGACCAGCCGATACATTACGAAGAAAAGTAATTAGCTCAAATCAATGCTCCATAGATCAGATTGTAATGAGATTTTTTCCCCTTTTCAACAGAGTCGTGAACGATCACAACAGCAGCATGCTTCAAGTGGTGGTGGTCATCATCAACTTCGAGGTGGACGAAATCCGAATCACCATCATGGTCGTAGTGGTGGTAACCGCCAAAATGGTCCTTCTCGTTCAAATCATAATCCATCAACATCAGCAACAACCACCGCTGGAACCAGTCATCAATCACAATCATCATCGAACATGATGGCTGCTGCCTATCAACAATCAACGAATGTGGCACAATCAACGAATCCATCGTCGGCAAATATAACGACAACATTTCCACCGACATTAGTGGTTAATCTACCACCTCCAGTACCTAAAGATATAATAATGGAGCCACCACCACCATATCCCGGGTTATCTACTGCCACCTCCAGTAGTAAACCAAGTGCACCACCATTGAATATTGTCGTACCAGTCATACCAGGCGCTCCTTCACATGGATACGGTGAAGGACGTGGTCATTATAATCGTCAACAAAATTCTGCTGGACCTACATCAGTGACAGCGTCAGCAGCTGCACCATCGTCATCAAAAGGATCAAAAGAACGAAAGAATCCGGAATCAGTATCGAAAAGTCATCGCCGTTGATTTGAAAAAGGATTACCCACCCACCCTCCAATGTATCATATATGAAACTCAAATTAATTTAATTTTTTTTTGCTCATCATCATCATCATTGGTGGTGGATTGTAAATGATTATTTTATTCAAAATTCTATATAGAAAAAACAATTGTAACATGTACAAATTCTCTTTTAGGAAAACTATTTTCGAGTCAAGCCTTGATGTGACACTCATTTGTTTTTTTTTCGCTGGTTCGATTTACTCTAAACCGGTGATGATCATCATTGATTCTTTTTTTTTGTTGTTTGCATCTTTTCTCTTTCACAGAAACATCACATCATTGAATCATCACCATTTGTTAACTAGTCATATTTAAAATTTGAATATGAACATTTTATTTTTTTCAAATTAAATAATTATAGATTAATCAATTTTTGTTTCTGTGTGTGTTTTCCAAGTTTGTCGAGGAGAATAAGTCAGAATTCTTCATTGACAGATGGCATAGATGTTTCAAATTCAAACGAACAACAAAAGTTCAACCAGTGGTCAACAAACCTACGCGAAAAAACACAAAATTTTATTACATTATAACCAGACCAGACCAGACGAGATGTCTTTGTTCTTTGACCGACGATGAAAGTTTTATAGCCATATGGACGACGCCACTTAGACACTATTTAGGTACCTTTGTTCAATATAAATGGATTATAGAAATTAAAAACGAGACTGTGAAAGACGGCAAATAACCAAAGTGAAAAAAAAATTGAAAAATGAAACATCATTTTCATTATGCCGACAAACATATGATGATGATAAATTGATCGATTGGCAATTAGCTTTAAGCTTTCAAGTAATTAGCTAAAAACAAATGAGAAAAATGGGTGATGATATGGTTATATTTGAATAAAAATTGATCGTTAATGAATCAAAGGCTAAAAATATCTGTTGCCATGCCCGAAACACATTTTCGACGACGATGATGAATTTTGTTCGAAAATAATAAAATAAACATTCATCGTTTAATCGTGTAAACATTGATTTACAATCAATCAATGTCATATATTATATATATTGATCTGATCAATCGAACAAAAAATGACACTAAGTAAATGGAAGAATGGACAATTTTTTAATTCATTCCTGGAATAAAAATCATCAGTTTTTTTCTAAAATCAGACATTCAATCGGATTGAAACTACAATAATAATAATAAAAATTCACGTGGACAAAATTATGTCTTTCGGCATGTTTGTGTGTGATCCGAGAATTCAATAAGGGTCAATGTACAAAACTGTGGCTGGGAAAATAATGGTGAATTGTGTCTCATGCAATAAAAATGGATTTATGATACAATGGAGGATTTTGTCTGGAGGACAAAAAAAATATGTGCCCTATGTGTGTGTGCGATATGAAAAATGTTACTAGATAGATTCCAATCTCAATTAATCAATCAAATGGGACTAGCTCTATAGCCAACAAAACGACACACATGGAGAAATACATGCTTGTTCGTTTTATTTTTTTTCAAAGCATATTCGAACTAGTCACAATCGACATGGATGCGGCCCCGGTATTCATTAGATGATGTGAATGAGGAGAAACGGTTGATGGACCTGCCGACGATACATTCGTTTGATTAGATGATTGTTGTGGTGTGATATGTTGTTGCATCACATTTGCTACCGGATTATTCGATCCTGGGCCACCAATACCAGTCATCATTGAAGGAGATAAAGTGTTCGGCATTTGTGGGGGTCCTTGCGCACCGGACATATATTTGGCATGAACTGTTTCTTCGGATTTTTCCTCTTCTCTTCGTTTGAGGCAAGCAGTTTTTGGATTTAGATTACGTTCTATAATGAACAATAAATTGGTTAAGCAATTGAGACAAAAAAAGCTAAAAACCGAACACGTACCTCTAACTTGATGTTCCAGATTGGTGATAACGTCGACAGCCTGATGAAGAATATTCAATTTGGTCTGTGCTTTGTCACATTTTAGATGCATGACGACCATACGACCCAGTTCTTTGAATGCTTCGTTTATGTCTCGAACACGAATCCTGGAGTGAAAAAAACAAAATGGAAAACATTGTCACAATTGATTGCTTCAAAAAGGAAAAAGATTTCTAGAAATTTATGAAAATAATCAGTATTTAAAATTAGCGTTTTTTAAAAAAATATCCGCATGAATTTATGAACGGATCTCAGTCGGGGAAAGATTGTCATCACTTTTTCGAATATGAATGAATATAATTAACAAAAACAAAACAAACCTTTCACGAGCATTGTTTGCCTGTCTTCGTTCTCGTTCACGTTCATGTTTCATCTCTGGTGGTTCATCTTCATCGGCCGAACTAACGAATGGAAGCATTCTAGATCAAAATGTAAGAACATTTTTACATTATTTTTCTCATTAAAACAACAACAATAACAACATACTTTCGGCCTCTGGATCTTTTTGGCTTTGATGATGCACCAGGCGATGATGATCGTGGATTTTTATTCTTAACATTTTGAGAAGTTGATGTTGGTGCTGCTGTATTGGTCACTATCGTACCAGCAGCAACAGCATTGTGTAATAAAGGCGATGTTACCACCACAGGTTGTTGTTGTTGAGGCAACGTGCTACTCGTCGCGGAAGTCGATTGTGGAACAATAGTGCGCATGTTCGCTATCAGACCATTTGGACTTTGCTGTTGTTTGTTTGAAAAGAGAATGTTAAAATAGCCGATTTTGAATTTTTATTCGAAAAAAATGAAATATTACCACATGTCCTTCCAATGTTGTGAGGTCAGTATTATTTGGTGGTGATAGAAAAGAATTGGATGATGATGGTGCTGCCAACAGCAATTGTTGTCCTTCAGCATGATTACGAAGAATATCGATAGCATCATCCAAACGTTCACCAACATTTACACCTCTTGTATGATGATGCTATTTTTATCAGTTTGAAAATATGAAAAAATCAATTAATTAGAATCCATTGAAAATAAAACAAAATGTAAATGTAAATGGGGGCCAAACTAACACAAAGGAAATCATACCTCGCCAGGAATATTTACATCATTCATAAGGTGTATAGTAGTAGTATTGGTGGGATCATCGTATTGATGATGATGATGATGAAGATCATTGGTGTTTGTAACGGTTTGCTGTGTGATTGTACCAGCAACAAAATATCATGCAATGAAACCAAACGAAACAAAAATAAAACAAAAAACAAAACAATCATGCATGGAACCAATGGAATTATAAAACTTACCATTGTATGAAGATGATTGATTTCATTGGTATTGGATTTGATATCAGTCGATTGAAATGATTGCTGCTGTAAGGGAGTTGGTGGAGATCGTCTTGTAGTCGGTGGCTGTGTTGTTGTGGCTAATTGTGTTGACCATTGTTGTTGATTAGTAGATTGTTGATCATTATTGTTGGTCATCGGATAAAGGCTTGTTATATCGGGTTTGATATCGATAGTTTGAATCGGTGATTGTATTGATGATATCGTTGTGGTGGCTGAATAACCAGCACCAGTAGTCATCATTTCAGATGATCGATTTGTAGCGAATGTTGACATAGGTGGAAGACTTGAAAGGCTATTGTTATTGTTATTATTAGCACTGCTTGCCACAGTATCATAAATAGATGTATTCGATGATGGTAACAATACTTGATCCATTGCTTGTGGATGTTGTCCATGAATATTGATTCCGTATGATTGTTGCGACGATGGTAGAGGTGGTGGTTGTTGTGGTGGCTGTGATGCACCGACAATATGTTGACCACCATATTGTTGTGCGGTTGCTTGATTCCAATCATTCGTTGTATCCAATTGATAATAATTACTAGCGGATGATTCACTAAAAAGTGTTCCTATAATCGAAATTTAAAAAAAAAATGAATTAGACATTTTCTCTTTGATTCATTTATTCATTCATTCAAACAATGTTCATAATTCTAGGATTATGGATCAGAACACAAAAGGTGATATAAGGGTGATAAACACCACCATGAATTCGGCGAAAAAAAAGTGAAATGGGAAATAAAAAGCTTGGCTATATTATATTTCTCGCCTGAACATTCGACATGCTGTGCAGAGAATTTTTTTTTTCGTTGTACAAATAAAATTTTTTTGAATTTCTTTAACTCTATCTATTTTTTGATCTTCTCTACAGTAGTTATTGGCTTCTCAAAAAAAAAAATTCTTCAGGTGTTCAGCACTATAGCATCACAGCATGTTATCGTTTCATATATCGCTAGACTGCTTGACGACGGCTTTTTCAATGAATACCCTGACCCATCATCATCATCAACAACCTTTGTGTGTTTTGTGCAGGTTTCACAGGTTTTAAAGATTGTTTTTTATAGAGATTCCATTAAAATTGTGTAGAATTTTTCAAAAGAAAAAAATTCAAAAAAACATAAAGTTTTTTTGTTGTTGTTGTTGTTCATAACAAACCAAAACCGAATAGCCGGTGTACATAAGGGGTGAGGGGTAAAATTTTTGTTCTATGATTAGCTAACAACTAAGATAAAATATTTTTCTCAACTTTGACCTTCGCACAGAAAAAAAAGCAAATAATAATGAGAAATTTGAATGGACAGATATTTCAACATTACATTTAGATTGAAATCATGCTGATTTCTTTCTTTTTTTTTCTCGTTTGTTGAGAAAAAATCAATTGGACAATTCGGAATCAAAGGACAAAAATATATGTGTGTGTCCCTAGGAAAGGATTTCAATGTCGTTCGTTGGAAATCGCTTACCTCGTGAATCACAATAGGGTGAATAATATTGTGAAGAGTCGGGTGCTGTGGCTGAAGAATTGTTGGTGGTACCAGTATTTGTACCATTAGTCGGCGTTAACGGTGGTGGATAATGAGTAGATTGTTGTGATGATGATGATGATGGTGGTGGTGGTTGAGATTCAGGATTATTCAACTGATGATATGTCGGTGGCGTAATTATTCCAGCTGAATTAAGTTCATCTTGATGATGATGATGCGGATGATGATGAGGATTATGATGGCTCATTGCTGCCAAATGTACATTATCAACAACAACAATATTGGACATTGTTGGTGGTGGTTGTTGTTGTTGTTGTGATTGATTCGATTGACCACCATTCGATCCACCATATGTAGAAGGCATCGTATATGAAGGCATATCAGCCTGGGATTTATCTACTAGTTGAATTTTTATTTTTATTATTATTATCAAAATCAAACAAACAAACAATAGAAAGAATAATTACAAATCAATAATAATGTCAAACATTCAAAAAAAACAACAAAAATTTCAATCAGAAAAAAAGCAGCTGCTACTTGTCAAATATATTTGTGGTCGATTCTTCAAACATTCAAATTTTATACCAATCGCAAATAATATAACAGAAGCACAATGAATACTCTATCCAACCAGTCAATCTCAACCTATAACTAATATTTTTTTTTTGTAGTGTGTAGTTTTTTTTACCATTTCATTTTGAAAAATATATTCTTCTTCTACATTAGAACACTTTATAGCAATAACAACAACAACAACAACGACGACTTTGTATGCCAAATCCACATTTTTTGTTTCATTCCTTTTTTAGACGCCTTCGCCAAAAAAAAACAAAATAAATTTCGTGGGCGCCTTCCGTTCTTTTTTTTACATTCATTCATTCGTTGATGATTGGCCGCCATACTATAGTGGTTTAGATGATGGCCATCATTATTATTATAACCATCAAATGATTATGATGACGATCATATTCGGTCGATCAAATTGGCAAAATAATGGAAGTAAACAACAAAAACAACAACAGATCGACCAGAAAAAAATAACATAAATTCATGACAGCAACATTATTTGATCGTATCGACAAGATTATAATTGTTAAATAATTTGTTTTGTTTGTTTTCGAAAATTGTCACACTATCATTGATCATGATCTCGGATTCGATTTCAATTTATGAATGAATGAATGGAAAAATCATTTAAATGATATTATAATTGTGGTCATGAATCAATTTGATTCTTGATGTTGTTGTTGTTGCCATACATTAAATAAGAAAAAAAATCGTGATCATTTTTTGGATGATCATATTTGGTAAAAAACAATTAAACAAAAAACATTGGCAATTTGAGAAGGAATTTTGAATCATCAAATCAAAATCAAAATATCAAATCAAACTTACTTATATTATTGTACATCATTTATATATAGTTATAATTATAGGGAATAAAATAATAATAATAATAATAAAACAAACAATAATCATTGAGTAATGATGAAAATTATTATTATTTTTATAATAATGTCAATAATGAGAAGAATTATAAAAGTTCCAGAGATCGGACAGGTGTGCAATGTTTGTATGGATTTTTTCGGCTATATTGGTTGATGGATTTTTGTTATAAAATATATCACCAAGCAACACTTTTTTTTGTCAGTTATCTTGATGTAGAAATTGATGATAATGATTACTGATATGGATGATGATAATGGCAATTCATACACAAAACAAAATTATTATTATTACATCACAGATTGAGAGAATCAGAAAAAAACTTTTGTTGGTACAATTTTGAAAATGGATATATAGATAATAATTCACATGGTGATTCTATTTATATATCTCCACGCTCATATTTATGACAGAATCATCGAATCGAAGAAGAAAAGAAAATTTAAAAAAAAAACATAGCACAAAATTGAAAAAAAGTGATCTTTTGTTCCGCCGATATTTGCTTGCATTCACTTTATACAGAACCCAACAAAAAAAAAAAAAAGAACACACAATTCATTGTTCACCAAACACACACCAAACTAGGGACCCCTTCTAAATCATAGGGTACCACAAGTAAGGAGGGTGAGAGAATGATTATCAGTAAAATCGGGAGACCAGCATTTTCCCAAAATTGACTGATGGCGGTGTTTGGTGTGTATGATGGCCAAAACAGAGAGACGATCAAATTGAAATAAAACCAAGCAAACAGACAAGCAAGGTTGGACCAAACAAAAAACCAACAAAGAAGGAGGAGGATGAGGACGAAGAGAAAAAGAAATGGACAAACAAACAAATAAAAAAAAAGATATAGAACTGGCTGTTTTATCGTTGCGCGCGCTATACATTAAAACTGGCATTTATTTTTTCGATTCTGTATTTGAAAAAAAAAGAAAACGCGAGCGCGCAACAGGACGACCTTTTATTGTTGTCCTGTCGTAGTGGTCAATGTTCTTGTGTAAATCTTTGGGAAAAAAAGGGGGTTGTGTTTGTTTGGTGTGTGCTGCAGCTGTCGCGCTTGTTGAAATAATAAGTTTTATTCGAATTCGAATCCTCCTCCTCTTCTTTCGCTTTTTGTGTGTGTTTGAGGAGGGAGGATGGTGATATTTGATGATTGAAAATGTGGTCTAGTTTTATTTCATTTCACGATTTTTTTTTTGGTTGGTTGGACGATTCATTATCATCATTCAATGAATTGGTGGGTGGTTAGTACCATTCATTCAATCATTCATTCATTCATTCATACTGAAAAAAAAGAACCTAGAACTTTTTTGGTGAATCTGAATATCGATCGACGATAATATATGTGAATGGTCAAAATTTATGAGGCCAAAAAAAAATGCTCGCTCGGTGTATGCCTCATTTCGTATTTCAAAGATCTTTTGTTCGACAAAAAATGAAACGAAACGATAACAACAAACAACAGCTGCCCCAGGATTGCACTTGCTGTATAAATGAGAATGAGAAGATCGAGAATTAATCTCACTAACTCTATGTCAATAGAATAAACACAAAAAAAACACTGTCACAAATGAATGAACGAAAGAAAAAAAACGGGACCTAGAATAGTTGTCAAACATAACATTCATGACCTACACACACACACACATAGGTCAGATATAACAAATGATAATGATGTATTAGATGAAAATGTGAATAACGGAATTAATCTTCTTTTTTGTTTGGTAAATTTTTGACATAAACCAGACCAGACACAACATCAAACATACATGAGATTAAGAAAGAGAGAAAGAAAGAACGAAATCAATCCAATTCGAAAAATCCCGACCTTGAAAAGTAATTAATGTTTGTTTGGCTTTTTTCAATTTTATCATTGATTTAAGACAAAAACACACAAAATTATTTAATCCATGGATATGAACAAAATCTATGAATAATTTAATTAACTAATCACACACTTACCACCGGTGTTTGATGTTCCTGTCGTATATAACGAATTTTGACAACGTGATGATGATGATTCGGATGTTGCTCGAGTTTGTTGTTGTTGTTGTTGACGATTAGTCAACGAACAACCACTTGATAATGAATTCGAATCGGTAATCCCAGTTCCCGATATTGATGATGATGATGATGATATTACACCACTATTACAACAATTTGATGATGATATTGTAGAAATGGTCATCGATGATGATTTGTTCGATGTTGTAGCTGTTGATGATAATGATAATGGTGGTGATGAAGGCAATGTTGTTGTTGATGATGATGATGATAATTTTGGACCAAAACAATTCTGAAACACTTGTACATAGTTTAATTCTTCATCATTAGAATTGGCCATTGTATCACTTCACTAAAGTATGTCTAAAAGAATAATGATGATTCTTTTCTTTCTTTTTTTCACCTGTAAATCATCATCATCATTTTTTTCCACTATTAACGTTGGTGATTCAGAATATTCAATTCGATTGATTATTATTCGAATGAAAAGAATTAGCAGCAAACAAAAAAAAATGAAATGATTCAATAAGGATGCTAATCATTGATGAAGAAAACGAAAAAAAAATGGATGTGGCAAACAAACAAACTTGGAAAATGAACTGAAAGCATCATTACTTCATCATTGGCTAATTTCCCCTTTTTTTTCACCAAACAATATCATCTATGCATTTTACACTTGGCAGCTGCTGCTGTTTTTTTTCGTTTTTAATTCATTGGATGCCCTAACAAACAAACACACACACACACAAAAGGCAGATGTTTAATGTTTAATAATGTAGTTTTGTTTGAATCTTCATGATGATGACGCCATAGAAAACACGATGATGATCCACGAAATATAACGAGAAAAATAAAAGAAAAAAAACTATGGCTGATTGGGCAGCATTTAGCTTTAGTTGATTTTTCGATTGGTTTTTCACTGATGATGATGATGATGATGATGATCGACAAACAAAAATGGAAAAAAATGATATTTTTTTAAATTATGATCATCGTCGTCGTCGTCGTAGTAGAATTAGTTTTTGAAAAGAACTTTTTTTGGTTTTTTTTGCAACGGAAACAAAAGAAAGATCGTAAGCGAGAACAAAAACAAAAACAAAAAAAAAACGGCAAGAAAGAAAAATTGAAAATCAACTCAAACTTGAAACTAAACAAAACAAAACGATGAGCAAAACAACAAATTATGGGACCCTATTCTTTTACACGCACACACATTATTCTACTATCATCGATTCTGGATTCTGTGTGTGTGTGTTTAACGACCGGTAGTGGCGCCCAATGGATCCCAAAACAAACAAACAAACAAAAAAAACGATTATTAGGAGAATAAAAAACATAATCATCATTTTAGTGGTGGTGGTGGTGGTATATAACCAAGAAAAGAAAAAAAAAATCTGGTTAGTTTAAATAATAATATCAATATAGTAAACCATATCAGTTCTTTTTATATATAGAATTAGAAAATTCTGTGAAAAAGAAAAGAAAAGAAAAGAAAATGATGTTTAAAAAAAAAGAATAAACTTTTAATAATCGAATCTTTTCTTTTTTATCGATTTGAGAGTGCGCACATTTCATATTTTCGTTTTTGCATGATTTTTTTTTTTTTTACTTTCGACCATTCATTTAGTTAAAATCATTATTTACAAAATTTTTTTTTATTTTTTTTTTTTTTTGAATCAAATTTTCATACAATAATTGTTATAGAATATAGATAAAAGGTGTGTGTGTGTGTGTGCGATGTAATATTCATGTATGGAATTAATAGTAAGGAATCAAATCAAATTCTTAATGTGCTGCATACATTATACGGTCAAAAAGAAAATATTACCGTATAATCGCGGGACATGATGGGTTTTAGATTCAAAGATGGAATTTTTTTTCGTCTTCTTCTTCTATTTGGAATGAAATGTTTGATCCACACATCATGCAAATAATGGATGCGGCATTAAAAAAAATTATTCGTTGAGTTTGCGTTGTGCTATCTTCATATTATAATAATGATTCGGGAAGAAATCAAATTCGACAATTTGTTACAAACCATTCATCCTTAATGATCAAAGTATACCTATAGGGTTATATTTGTTTCAAATTATTCACCAAAAAAAAAATCATTTACATTTTGGTTCGAATAATGGAAATTTTGATCATCACGATGATAATGATGATGCATCACGTATTTTTTGCTTTAGTTGTCTATTTTCTAAACGAATTTGTTCAAGATCAGCATTGATTCGTATTAGATTGGCACTTGTTTTTCGATTATTTTCATTTTCAATCTAAAATTTTTTTTTTAAAAAAACAGGAAAATTTAGACAAAAATTTTATCAATCAAAAAATTTACCATTTCTTCGAGTTTACGAATTTCACGAAGATGAATACCAATTTCATTGATTGCTTGTAATAATTCATGAAATGTTGATTGTAAAAGTGCCAATAATTTATAACATTGACGATTCCATTCATTTTGTCGAGCTTCACGAAATAATACTTCATCGGCAATAGTAAAACTTCGTTCAATTTTTCCATTCAAATTATTAATATCTTTTTGAACGGCTTTTGTTTCGGCTACCACTTTCAATGTTTCATCATTTTGTTTTTTAACATTCTGTATAATTTCAATTATACGACGTGTATATGATCCACGATTTGGTGGCCATTGTTGTGGTTGCCGTTGTTCCATATCTTTAATCATCAATTCTTTTGATTGAATTTCTTTCAATTTCGATGCAATCGAACGTTTCATCGTATTAATTAGACGAATTTTTTCCATTTGTTCTTCATTCTGTATCATATTTTGTTGTTTTTTTCGTTTTAAATTTTCCAATAAATCTTTTTGCATTTCATCCCATGCTAAGGCAATTTCTTCAATCGATTCTTTCATCATTTTGATACTATTTTCCAACTGAAAATGACCAACAACAAAAAAAACTATTAAAAAATGAATCAAAAACAAAAAACTCACTCAAACATACCTCTTCTTTAGATTTGAATGATGCTTCGAATAGTTTATATTGTTCTTGATATTGTCGTTCCAATCGATTTAATTCATTTTCATTTATTTTACATTTCTGAATTTCAGTTTCACAATCTCGAAGTTCTTGGCGAAGTTTTTCCAAAACAATTTGCTGTTCATTTGTTTTTCGTTCACCTTCTGTTTGTTGTTGTTCACTCGATTCATTTGATGAAATTTGAATGCTAGAATGATCAAGATTGGAAGATTGTTTCAAATCATCTTTGCCATCATTATCATCAAAAACATGAGGAATAACATTGGTTTGTTTTGATTCTAATAATGTTTTTAAATAATGATCCATATAATCGATTGATTGATCATCAACAACAACAACATGTTCATCCGTGTTATTTTTCCAATAATGATTATTCCATTCTAATGTATCGATAATCGTTGATGGAATTATTGACATTTTGTTGTTGTTGTTCGTCGACATCAAAAGATTTCGACGACAATAATCAACCAACGGTGTTTGACAATCATTATCAGACAAAAATGATTGTAATGAACAATTATTTAGATTATGCATTCCATAAATTGAATTCGAATTGGTTCGATGACCATAATAATCATAATAATCACTATCCGGACAATATTTCATTTCATCATCATCATCATTGTCATCATTGATATGATCAGAGCTATAAGGAATCCATACAGTTGATGGTTTATATGTGGAATTTTTCAATTTTCTTAAAATATCATATGATCGTAACGACCAACTACCATCAATCATTGATGGATGTTGATCCGGTGATGATAATAATTTTTCATCCGAATCGGCTGATATTTGTTCGACTAGATATAATAAAAGACGACGAATTTCATGTTCATTACTGTAAAGAAATGTTTGATAACCAATATCGGATTTATATCCAATATTCTGTATACAATCGGACAATTGATTTGCTAATTTATATCGAATGGACATGTTCATTGTCGGATTGATTGTTGAAGGATCGGGTATCGTTATCGAATCATCATCGATATGAATTCGCTGTAAACAGGTGGCCACACATTTCATAATTTGATGTGCATCCAACGAAGCGATACCCGAAATATTTTCATCATCTAAATCACTGTGTGTACGAAACAAAGCAAAAATTTCCAATTAAAAACCAAAAAACAAAAAATAATCATTAAACTTACCATCCAATTTCACGAAGTTGTGATAAAAGAATCGAATCAACTTCTTCCATTTTTGTCGGCGGATTGAATCAACCATAAAAACAGATGATTTGATTTATAAGGATACTAATGCGCGTGCGTCCTTTTAGTCATTGATTGATTTGGCAGCACTAAATACAATATAATGGATTTGTATGAAATCACATTACCTAATGTATCAATCCTAATGGATGATAATGAAAATTTTGGATTCATGTTTTGGATCCAAAATTCTGGTTATTCGATTATGTTTGAAATTCAAATCATTTCGCTATTCTTACAACTAAGTGTGTCTTAGTCAAATGAGAAAATCCTCGTTAGTATAGTGGTGAGTATATCCGCCTGTCAATTCGGTATATATACAAAGAACCGCAGTTGAGCAGAACGCGGAAGACACGGGTTCGATTCCCGTACGGGGAGCTTCTCTCTTTTTTTTCAAAAAATGTTTTTTTTTTGAAATTTTTTTTTGTTTTGAAAAAAATTTCATCAATAAAAAAGCATGGTACAGAAAAAAAAGGAATTCAAATAAAATATTTTTTAATTATTATTATTATTTTTTTTGGTAATAAAATGAAATGGATAAAATATATCATTGTGAAAACAAAAAGAGAATAGGAAATATATTTGAAATATATATTAAATATGATGATGATAATAACATGTATCGATTGATGGATGGTAATGTTGTTGATCAACATCACGTGGACCGATATTATCCAGAAGAAGATGATGATGATGATGATGATTATTATCCAATGATTGTTGCGATGAAATCGGTTCGGATGATGATCGTGATTGTGATGACGAATTATTATGATTATTCGAATAATATCGACGTATTTTTTTTGCCAATTCAAAATTATCACGTTGAAAATAATTACATTGATATTCGGATAGAAATTCATTGTGATGATGATTATGATGATGGTGATGATCATCGATTCGATGATGATGATTTCGTGCACGTGTTACTTTTCGAAATCCATACAGATGAAGTTGTCGCAAAAATGATGAAAATTTTTTCGAACGAAAATAATAACCAAGATTCGGTTCAAGATTGTGTTCATTAATAATAACACTCATTCCATCTCTTGACCATCGTATCGGTTTGAATGATTGATCCGATGCTAGATTCCATAGTTTTATTGGAAAACGTTGATGAACATATTTTGGATTCATTTCATGATTTTTACAATATCTACGTCGATTTTCTTTATCATTTTCATCTTCTTCATCATCATCATCTTCATCATCATAATAATCATTGATAGCAGCAGCAGAACCAGTAGCAACAGTATCAGAAGCAACAATTTGTTGTTGAGAATCTTCATTGCTATCGACACTTGATTCACCGGTAGTGTTTACAACCATTTCGTTTTCATTACCTAATCGATGATCATTATTATTATCGATTATCATATTGGTCGGACTATTATCATGATTTTCTTCAATCTTATATGGTTGTTGATGATATTGATATTGTTGATGATGATCAAGGCCAATTTCGTTAGGATAAAATCCAGCTGAACCTGAATAAATCATTGAACCATTATCCCAACAATAATGAACATTATAATATCTACCCTCTTCATCTCGATAATAGAACGTTTGATCGGGAAAATAAATCATTTGATTTGGATCATAATAGGATTCATTCATCAGTTGTTGTTGTTGGTCGATCTATTCGAAAACGAACAGAAAAAAAACAAACATTTTGATTTAACCAACTAATAAACAAATTCATTATTATCATTATTACCGAATTTGAATGAACAAAATTTGTATGATTTTCGATTGAATATAATGGAGGATAATTGTTGTATGGTATTGGTGCAAAATTTGAATCCGAAAAATTTTGCATATTTGCATACAAACACCCATCAATTGGTGGTTGATTCATAAAATTATTATGATCAACATTACTGTCATTATTATCTACCATAATAATTCCATTGGATTCTGAATGAATCGATGGCAATAGACCATTTTCGTTATTAATTTCAGGATTTTCTCCATCATCACCACCACCACCAACAACAACACTACCACCATTATAGATTGTGGTTTCCCATTTTTCTTCGATGACAACATTATCTTGGCTTAATGATGGTTGATAATGATTAAAATCGCCACCATTATTTGTAAAATATTTATTCGAAGAAAATTCCGGATTTTTATTCTAGAATATAAATTAGAATAGAAAACAAAAAAAAAGAAAAAGAAAAAGAAAACATAGTTAAAAGACATTCGAATTTTTTTTACCATACAAAAAAAAACAAAAAATAGAAAATTCATTCAAACCGAAACTTGATTCGAATTGTAAAGATGTGTCGACGAAGACGACGACGACAACAATGTTGTTTGTTGTTCGTCGAAAATCTCTTCCTTAATAATCGACATTATTCTATTTTTTTTGTTTGTTTGTTTTAAATTCCAAAATTCCAAAATTCCAAACTGCAAAAAGCAATTTTGTTCGATCAAAATGAATCTGTACAACAAGTAAACCGGTGGTATCTTCGAACAACAACAGAAGAAAAAAAACATGCAAATAATAATAATGATGATGATAACAGTTATAAATTTCGAAATTGAATAAAACGTAATCAGTTGTTGTTCGCAAACAACAATAATTTCGAGCACATGTTTGTTACACGTACACACACACAATATATTCAATTGAATTAAAAGTGAAAACAAAAAAAAATTAACAAAAATTTTTTTTCATCAAATCGAATTTTCGACTTTTGTTCGTTACAATTTTTTTTTTTTTTTTTGGGAAAAACAATTTTTTTTTACCGTCGAGCAATTCGAAATTGCATATTTAGATTCTCATTGTTGTCGATATAGACGCCACCTTTCGATTGTTTCCAAATAGCCATATCTATATCTCAGTTCCGTTTCACCAGTGTTCGAGAGTTTTGTTCGGTTCGTAAATTAAATTTACCAAAAAAAAAAAAAAAAAAAAAAAAAAAAAAAAAATTCCTTTTTTTTTAATCTCGAATTTTAAAAAAAAAATTTTTTTTTAAA